TGGGCTGAATTGCACAAAACGCATGATCGCACCGGCTAGTCTGGTGCGCGTTGCCATTTATTGAATACTAACTTATGGCCTTTCCGCGCACCTACATAAGTGCTTCCCAGAAGTCGGCAGCGTGTTCTAAGTTGTTATTGGTACATTTGGCATCAAAAGATTGCAGTACATCGCTAGCGAAGTGCTCCGAGTCAGATCTGGCGTGAAGGATGTCATCGAAGCACTGCATGTCAGCAAGAGAAGATGGGCTGGTCATGTAGCACGAATAGTAGACAACAGATGGACAAGGCGGATAATGGAATGGTACCTACGCATGGTAAAAAAAAACCAGGGAGGCCCCTAGCGAAGTGGAGAGACTCAGTAGCACGCCTGCACAGTATTACGTGATCTCCGAAAGCATAAGAACGAATCACAAATGTTCAATTATTCGAGTAAGTATTGTTACAGTCCTACAGTGCGCGATGTATCTCAATGCTGTGCAGCACTTGGCTTGCCCGCAAGCATGCTTCATTCGGAGTTCTGTTCATTCGCAGTTTGTCAGTTGTTAATTGTTCGTCGTTTCGTCTTAATAACACTTTACTCTCTTCTTTACATTTCGGTTATTGGCACACGACACAAAACATATAGGAGAAGATGCTTCGTATTTGGTAGTCCAGCGGCTACTGCTGCTGCTGAAACACTCACATGCTAGAAATCTGTGGCTGTTTACGAACTCCTGACTCGATTGTTTTGCAAGTTTTTCCGAACTCTCCAGTCCTTTTTTTGCTCCGGACAAAATTTCCAGGACAGCTGTTGGTGAATAGGGTGGCTCATTAGAGTTGCGAATTTTTCTAGTTGCTTTAACTGAGCGTCTTTTTGGTCAGCAGCCTGCAGGTGCCTCTCTTGAAAAAACTACAATCAGATGTAACAGAAGCAGTTGGCACGAGTTTAGCTTGCACCGGTGATGACATATTGATTAAATTCATGAATAATACAATGACTTCTAACGCATACACTGAATAGAATATGACCAGGGCATGCTTCTTCGCAATAATAACTATGAATGACCAACTGATAAGATCTGCAACGGCCGAAGGCTGATCCAGCATACGATACGCATTGTTTACTGTTTGCATTCCCATTTTAAACTGGAACTGCGACTCGGCGCAACGATTTGCCAGTTCAGGTATTTCGTGCTGATCTTGAAAAGTTTCTTCACTTTTCAACTACTTACAGAATATAGGCCATGTGTTTTGGCTGCTCGAAAGCCAAGCGATAGTTGCGAACTTGTCTCTGTGTTTTGCAAAAATTTTTCAATTTGAGTTTGCAAGGGCAATTTGACCTGAACAGTATCTGCGAAAAAATAAACAGCCAGTCCGGCATTCTCGGAAGAGGGCGCACATTTATCGAGCACACAGTTGATAGTAACAGGAGGCACGCAGTTCAGGATCGAAGAAACTGACATAATAGCATGCAAAAGCATCCAGTAACATCACTGACAGGGATTTTACATGCGGTTTTGACATTCCAGATGTATTGTGGTTGTGTAATTTTTGCTGTTTTTTTTAAACTATGAGCCACAGCGGCCAGTGCAGCAGAACAGCCTTCCCTCGCCTCGATAAACTTGCCTCCAGTTTTTTCCTTTCCTTTCCCTCTGTGACACACCTTCTGCAATTTTCTGAAAATTTCAGCAGTTTGAAGAAGTTATGAGTTCAATCATTGCGCAGCTTGAGGCAAATAACTCGAGACTGACGTGAGAGGAGCACATTTATCTCATTTTTTTGGAAAACTAAAAGTGTGTTTTCACTTTTAGGTTAATTTTCCGCAATTGTAAGGAAAAGAAGCTGAAAATTTTTCAAAGCGCCGAAAACCAAAGTCCGATTTTTTAAATGACTTCGAATCTGCAGTTATTGCCCCTTCTCTTCTTAAATTTGACTTCAAATTTCGCTTCTGAGTGGCACAAAAACTGCTGAATGAAGCGTGCTCCTGAACTAAATTTGTATGATGCGCTACTTGGAAAATGTTAAACTGAGGTACTCAGTATTATTTCATCCATTTCTGTGACTGCATTACAAGTTTTTAGGTTTTCGGATCACCAACATGGAGAATGCTTAAAAACAACAAAGGATGTGAAGGAATGTTGATCTTTAAACAAGTTCGAATTATGTTTAGCTGGTACACAAGGTAAATGAGGGTTAATTTACAAAAGTGTTTCCAACGTGTTTTGAGGAACTTTTAAATGTGCGCAGACAGTTAAGAGATACTTGAGAGCTGAAAGTTATTAAGTAGAATCAACTTGTAGGCCTATTATTAAAGTGGATAGGAACTCTACTGAATTTCCAGGGACCCTCATAAAAATTTTTAAGATCTCGTGTTAAAAATCAGTGAGAAGCCGGAACATCGAAAAAACACAGGAAAGGCGGCCAGCAGAGGTAGGAAGACCTGTTTGAACTATGGGGGCGGAAATATGCAGATGGAGGAGGTGCAAAGTAGAGAAGATTTTGAATTTGCTCCAATTGCACTAACGATGAGAAGGTGACGATGAAAAAACAGCTCATCAGACTATCGCGGTGCTCCAGATTTGATCCAGTTTCGGAGCGCATCGCTCACTAGCACAAAAACTAAAAATTTTGGTTCCACCAGTGCTTTATTTTCTTCATTAGCAAAACACTTCCTCAGATACACTTTGGTAAGCTGTAATTCATGACGCTATTATGCAGTCATGCAGTTGGCAACTTTTTAAGTTTCTTTGACCAGTGCCGCACCGCCTGGTGGTCAGTGTGCTAACAACTCTGCCGTTCACTTGTATATTTCGGCAATAATTCATAATATGTAGGCAACCTTAATGCTGGGCAACATAACTGCAGTAATGTTCAAGTTAAAGCTCTTGAAAAAGTGACGCAGGAATTGATTTGGTACCGAATATTCAGGGGAGAGGTTATTATGCGCATCTGCCGTCGAGGTCTTCTACGCTCAGCTAAAAATTGGTTTCGAGCCCATGCAAAGTTCATTTTATCATACGGATTCGTTCTAATCATTCGATATTGTGCCGGTTTTCGCCGCTACATTCCTCCTCCTGCGCCTCCTGATGAAACAGCAGTGAGTTCAGTTTGCCTGACAGGTACATTATTACTGCATATCGCTGATTTTTTTTCACAGGCAATTGGTACATTTATGTGGTTTCGTCACAAGATGGAGTTTCGCTGCGTAATCCTAGCCGTTACGGAATGAGACTTTCTCTCACTGTGTCAAAATTTTAGGATTTACGGCAACACTGGTTTTCTTTTTTCGAGTGAAATTCTGTCCAGTTATCTGGTTTTATATTTTGTGCGTCTTTTGATGAATTCAGTTTTCTTCTAGTAAATTTTTAGTAATTTTCGATTCGGAAATTTTGCATCTCTCGATTCGGTCTTCTGCAGATTTTCTATTCACGCGAGTAGCTGGTTTCCTGTGATAATGATCGGATAGATACATTTCGTAGAGGGATCTTTTTTAGATTTGCTTTTCCCCTCTCTTCTTCCTCTCTCATCTTTCCTTCGTTCGGTCAGCGGGGTATATCAAAACTATAAATGGTCTTACACATCACTGCACTACGAAGTTCAACGTAGCAGTTACGCGGATTTTTACGAACAACCAGTGCCTCTTCGACATCCCAATCATTCAAGTATAATTAATAAGCGAAGCTGCAGATTGGTGCATTGCGAAATTCAATGCAACAGACTATGTTAGCATCGAGAACTGGCCAGTGTTTGCTCGGGATCGAAACTGGTTGACATCGGAAAAGCAGTTTCAGCGGATCATCGCCGAAAACGCTTACCTTTATTTGAATGGCCGTGAAAATCAAACAGTAATCGACAGGAAGTCAGACATTGATCCCGTCAGTGAGAAATATTTCGGCAAAATTGAATGCAATTTTACTCAAGGCGTCGTCTATTACAAGGTTTAAAACTCAAATTTAAGAAAATTTTTGATGAATTATTTACTGTCCAGAAGCTGATAAAATCTGTTGAAAAAAGACAAATGCGATATCAGTTGTCTTCATGGCCATGGTGATACCTCGGTGGCTGTATTTGGAAACAGTTTCGCTGTTCGTGCGACATCTGCAATTCAAAATGCTTTCGGAGAGACACTGCGCGAAATACGCGTCTTTTATGGATATGGTGAGGCCTATTTGCAAGCCGCATTTGTTAATAATGTGCTGGAATCGCTGCGAGAGGTACAACCAGATATTACCTTCTTCATTATCATGTAAGTATCCTCCATTGATCTAAATCTAAAATTTTTTGAAACTTTTTATGCAGTGATGCTTCTTCAATTCACATGCTAAGACTTTCTTTAGGACGACTTTTCTAAAGTCTGTGAAGAAGTAGCACCAAATTTGGACGTTTCTCAGTCGCCACTCGCTCCTCTCCAAATTGGTCCAGAAATAACAATGTTATAAGCTGATGGTTCACATTTCTGTAGTATAAGTGAATATTACTGGCAGTGAATCACTCAGCGTTATTCGACAAAAGATGCAGCTTAAACTGAAACAGTACGTCGACTCATGCGAATCTCACACCTCACATTTGGGTTACTAAACCTTCTACCATGAAATGACAAGCAACTTACGTATTAATACAAGTACGCAAAATTGCAAGAAGAGAAAAGTAAAAATATTAAAATAACTTCTATACTTTAGGCCACTAGCTCTAATGAGAAGAAAATTCCACGATCTGAATACCGACGAAGGATTTCGCAGATTGCAATATATCGTTAGCGCACTATCAAGGATAACCAAACGAATAATCCTGCAGTACCCATTCCCATCCGGAGAACCACCATTTCCCTTCCAGTATGTATACATTTATTAAATGTCACTTGTGCGACTTTCTTTTTAGCAAATGTTTGCAAATTTGAAATAGCATCTGAGCTGTTGCGGCCAATATGAGGCATAAATCTCCCTCCACCCTAATAAGCTCTGCGTAGCGCTTGAAACATTTTCAAACATACCAGACCTGAGCTGCTGACTTATCGAAAGGAAGAAACCCGAAGGAGAGTGTGACCAAAACGAAAAAATTTAACCTGAATGCATCAAATTAAGGCAAGAAATCTTAAGCGTAAACAAGCAATTTTAAGTATTAAATCAAACGAAATAAGTGGAATGGGCTCAAAAAATCACTGTAAAACGGCGCTGAAATTCCGAACGCAAAAATTAATTAATGCTGGTGGACAGCAAAAAACGGCGAGTAGCATTACTGTCGTGCCGAAGATTGAAATTTCGGCTCCGCGATAAAACAGCCAATCCCTCTATAATTCATTCATTCGTTCGCTGGTAAACTGGCACTGGCGCAAGCCGAGAAGTCAAACCCGCATTAGAAAAAGGAGCCGTCAACAGCTTTGACATAACGTGGTTTAAAGAAGTGAATAAGGAGTTCTGATTAATTCACTTGGTGACCAAAATACTTCTTAACTATAGGAACATGTTTGATACCAAAATCAAATAAAAGTCTTGTTTTAGGAACAAAAAAGTGTTTTTTTTTTCTACG